AGTTTTCCAACGTTTGGCTGGACACAAGGTCGGGTCTGACTATTCAGTGAGAAACCTGTTGAACGTTTTGCAAGTTAAAAAGCGCAGAATTTAAATAGGTCAAAATTATGGAACCAATATTTTCAACCGTTTATAGATCTGCAAAATCCTACAGAATTGGTGGTGGTGGTGGTGGTGGTGTCGGAAAAAGCTTAATTATTTCAGCGAGAGTACTGTTGTAAATTCATGAGAATTGAAGTTCTGCTGGGTCATGTTTAATTCTAAATGCCGACAGGCTGTAACAGCACCCAGTAGACCGAAAAAAACGAATGAAGTTGGTATCCCAGGGGTCGGAAATGAGAAACTAAATTTAAAAGCGCCCTTTTCCAACCCTTAATGTTGATTCATTAACTATCGAAAACACCCTTTATGAGTTTGTCGATGGCACTGGGAACATCGCAAAAAATTGTGGTAGATCAGTTGCCAGTTCGCCACCCCGAAGGGATGGACGACGGGCCAGATCATAGCGTTGTGGGATGTTTTATATGGACATGTGTTAAGTAGATGACAAGCTCATCTATTAACGCAACAATTATTCTTTTTAACAGTTCGACTCTATTTTATCTCGAACCAAATTTTCTGTCAAATGTTTGATTTCTAGTTAAAAGCTCTCGCGAGTTTATAGTCTTCGGCTATTCTCAAGAATATGTTTGACATTCTGTACTGGATGTTTCTAAAGTTCGATACACCAGAGCAGCTGCCGAAATGGCTGCAGTCGATGCCGTTCTGTGACATGGAATAGACACCAAAATTCTGCCGACTTTCTGGGTTGGCACGGTAAGTATTGAATTGGTGGGGGAGACTAGTTGACTTTCATGAAGTTTGCTAAAATATTCTCCATAAAATGATGTGTACGTAATAGTTGGCAAAAAAATATCCATACACTCAGGCTAAGACAGACGGACACTAAGTTATGCGCACCAACCTACGTATAATTTTGTAGATTTTGTATATTTCAGTGGAAATGGGCAGAGCTTTTGGAAAACACATCTAAAAACATACGGCGGGAACAGGCACGTTATAACAGGAGTTGATGCGGTGTACAATGTGAAAAAGAATTTAATTCTTCTTCAAAACATTTCGATCATTTTTCTCGGACGACTACGTCAGGTAGATTATACCGTGTTTTGATAAACCGGTAAAAGAAATAACTGAGTCAAAAGTCGAGTCTCGACATATTTTCTTTTTAGTTAATGCTGGTGATCGTTGATATTTATCGAATGCAGCGATACAAACTAATCGTGGACTTTAAGCCTGTAGCCTCGTATTTAAGAGCGTTTTAATCCACGGAAAAATCACACTGTTACTGTCCTGAGAAGAGGGTAAACAGAAGAAATCCCCCCACTGAGAAGTTTTCAGTATGTCTGCAAAGTGGTTACGCCGAGCCTCCTTATTTTTAAATCAACTGACCAAATGCTCCAAACAGCTCTCAAAACACTGCAGGTCGTATTGAAAGAAGACAGGTAAGTCGCTTCGAGGACATCTTCACACAGTGAATGAATGATTTGATGACATCATTTACCATACACAGAGGACTAACTGTTTTTTGGTTAATATGAATTTAAAATTTCCGAAGTTCAAAGGGGCGTCTGGGTCACTGCTCGCATGTCACTAGCAAAGTGGGCTAACTCATGAAATGTAAACCGAAATTCCGAAATGCGTTTTCGTTTCGAAAAGATTAATTAAGTAGAGTTGTGAAACTAATCAGCCTGCAACATAACTTTATAATATTTCAGTTACCTCAGGATGCCGGCTTTCGAATGAACTTCTTTCCGGCCGCATGCAAAAACTACACTCTGTAAAAAATGGATAAATAAGTAGCATGATTTTTTCTCATTGATCTTCAGGTCCCCTAAAAGTCCAATTATATTTCATGGAAAGCATGCATAAAATATTCATTCATTTGCTCATTCGGTAGACAATTACATCTTTTAATTTTATACTCGAAGGAAGGGTATAATTAGGTTTTCAATAACTTTTCCAATTGCCGGACACTTTTGAACCCGCTCTACCGTTACAATTGCATTCAGGATTTCCAAACTACAAGCCGTATATTTTCCGCGTACGGAAAACCACACATTTCTCTAGGGTAATAAAAGGAGACCATATTGGGTTCATAAAAGTTAGCAGTGAGTTTGATCCATAATGTTAACTTTACAAGACACAGTGGTAAATGCAAAGACATACGATTTATGAACGGCCACTTCACGGTACCTAAGAGTCCCACAATTTGAAGCTTTTTGAAACCGAATTTTGCCCATCTTTCGAGTATAAAATTGGAAGAAGACGTCATTGTGTACCTAATGAACAAAACATGAATATTTTATGCATGTTTTCCATGAAATATAATTGGACTTTTAGGGGAACCGAAGATCAATGAGAAAAACTCATGCTACTTAAGTAGCCATTTTTCACGGAGGATGGTTTTTGCATGCGGCCGGAAAGAAGTTCACTCGAAAGCCGGCATCCTGAGGTAACTGAAATATTATAGAAATATGCTGTTCGATGATTACTTTTACAAACCTACTTAATTAGTCTTTTCGAAACGAAAACCCATTTCGGAATTTCGGTTGACATTTCATGAGTTGGCTCACCTACTGTATGTGCAAACTGGATAATTATAGTAATGTTGCCCGCTAAAGTTAAGTGCTGAGCTACAGGAAGTAGTCCAGAATAGGAAGTCTAGTCGTCGGAGCAAGGATTTTATGCTCCCGTCGTTTCGGATTCCCGTTCTTACCCATCATCAAAGACAACAATAGATAAGGGTAGCGGACGCAAAAGGAATACGGTATTCATAGAGAACTATGCTGCACAGCCGCAGTCCTACCAAAACTTCAGTTTATTTACCAGAAAGCACATGGCAGGTGCTGGTGAACTCATTGATGAGCTGAACCCCGTGTCACACAGCGGCACAAGATCAGTGAATCGGACATGTCTGGGTCTTTATCTAGTACCTATGTTGTCTTTATGATGGGTCATGCAACATTGTTGCACTGTTAACTGCACGTGGGCAGCTTGTGAATATTACGAATTTAGTCCTCAGATGCTGATGGGTTTCAGCTCAAATATTCATAGCACCTTTCGAGGCGGGCCTGAAGAGTTTCTTCCTGAAGGATTTGCTCCAAGTTAATGCATTATATCTCCAAAAATTAAAATGCTAAAGTTTACACTCCCAAAACAAATGTAAATGATTGCACTCGATACGTAATGGTTTGATCGCCTACATCTGAGTCGTTCGGTGACGCAAAGAATTGACTATTAACGTAGTGAATGCGGTTTGGTATAGTTGTAGACAAAACCACTATGTCGGAAAAACTGAGAGACTACTCTGGACGCAGGTGGTCGAGACTGCTCCACTTACAGAAATGAGAATTTAAAAGGCATCCGGCTGTGTTTACTTCATTTAACAACAGCATTTGTTGGTTGTAATAACTCACGTGTTCGAGCGCAAGATCTTAAGGCGACTGAGTGAGATAGTCGCAATCCATGGTTCTATTGACAGACATAACCTAGAAACAGCTTTGGCACAGATACTGGTCATGCTTTTAGAAAATGCTGTACTAGAAATGAGAAGGTTGCCTAGACAGGAAAGAAAAGTACGTGCTCTCTAGGTAGATTTGGTATGCCTAAGAAGACATAGTAGCGAATCTGTAGTCTCCAATAGCCATATCTGGCCGTAGGCTTGTTAGCCTAAACAAAACTGCGTAAATATACTTGATGCAGATCGTCGGGGAAGCGATAAAACTTAGCAGGTAGGTAAGCACCAAAAAGACGTGCTTCGCTTTTAAAGACCCTTTTAAACTGGTTCACTCTACAGCACGAAGCAGGATACAGCTGTCGAAGTGATATTTTGACTATAATGGCAGTTTCACGCACACACCCCCTTCTTTTATGTGACTTCAAGCTTTAATCGTGAAAATACGCACTCTATCTATTCATTTCTACGTGTCTTAGTTTACACTTTACCCTCTGCAAGAAGGTAAATTGAAACTGCGACGTTCCTTTAATCTGCGGACGGTCATAGAAGTGCTTACTCTGTCTAGATGGGCCGAATGGTCACCCTAAAAGTTTAATCCTCGCACATATATTGTCTATCAAGGCCTTGAAAAATTGTGAAAATCCTATAATCCCCTCTCTGAGCAACCCGAAAGCAAATGTGCGTTGCCCTATTCCAAAACAGGTTGTTAGTGTACGTAGCAGTTTTGGTGACACTTGCCCGTCCTCGAGACATTTACTCCACCGCCGTACACCGAGGGTCTTTTCCCAGTTATCTTGATTTCCAGCAGTAAAAGATATGCACCTTCACTTTTACCTCCAATCCGGTTGGCATTATGACGCCGTTTCAAAGAGAATGCCAATAAGGATATGTACGAGGGCACCGAACCTTACCCGTCACCAGCACAGTGACCACGGCTTCCCTGAAGCTACTACAAGACTGAGAAACGGTGGGCGAACGGCGTCTTCGTGTTTTCGCATCTTTAGGCGATGGAGGCTGTACAAATTGATCAGTCCCGGCGTGCACATATTTGTCCCCTCCCTTTCGGGTTACGTACAAGTGCGCACGTGCGCACGTTGCCTGTGTGCCGACCAAAGGACGCGCCTGCACACACACACAAGACACGTCAATCTCCCGACCAATAGAAGTCCGAGCTGCCGATCGTTCATCGGCAACGAGCGCTCTAGTCGTGCGGTCATCCCTTCCTCGGCCGGCGCGGCCTGCACCGCCAATAATACACGCACACAGTTCTCCTGCATCAACAGCCGTGGCACCAGCATCTCCGACTGGACAGGCCCTGAATCCCTTAGGATCGCACCTGCGTGTGCCCAGTCCTCAGTGTGTACTTTTCGAATTCTGTAACCGACCCCAGAGCGTCAGACCTTAAAGCTTCGGCAGCAGTTCTAGAGGCCATCCTAAACAAGTCTTTTCCTCGCGTCTACGACTACTAACGACAGTCATCACCATGTCCGACGATGAAACTGCAGTGTAAGTCCGCAAGACATGTCTTACATGCGCAGTTTGCTTTCCTTCTAAGCCGCCTATTCAGAAGTTGTTTTTGTTCGGTTTTGCCACTGGCCTGCGACGTCGCAACGCGTTTGCATGAGCGTATTCCCACGTTAACTTTTTACCAGAAGTTTTCTTCCCCCTCCCACACGAGTATGAGTATGTGTGAGTGGTAGTGAAGGATGGGGTTAAAAATAGGCGATCACAGTTGGCTGTTCGTCGCGAATCGTTCTGCGTCTCACTTAAAAGCCAATAGGTCCAAGGTTAGGCATGGAACATACAGCTTCCACACTCCCCACCTGGCATCTCTTCACTGCTGGTGTCGCTGTTGCTTCCTAACGAGTCATTACACTGCAGAGGTGGAAAAGGAGCATTTGCCGCTGTGGAAGAAAAGGCAGGAGTTAGCGCAGTACTGGGAGTTATTCTAAAATAGCGCCACAAAATTCCTTCGCGAGATGTCATTGGTAATTGATTTGGTCAACATTTTTTTCTGGTTATGGTGCGAGTCTTGAATATTCTTGACCATTCAGAATGAAGAAGGGTTTTTATTTAATTATTCAAATCTGTTTTTCGTCTCACGGTTCGTTAAATACAAGAGTTAAGACAAACATAATGAGTGTACTCAAAGATTGCAAGGACGAACTAGCCACAAGTTGTTGAGAGCTAAAACGTTACTCATACTACTAATAAGACTAGGGAAACCCATGAACTGACCTTACTTTTTTAATATTCTCTCTACTCGTCTGTTTGGTTGTCGCTAGCACAAATTTATGGTGAACATCAAGAACGACTAACACCAGAATTTGTGCATGAAGATTGTTTGTTCTCATAGAACTTTATATTGGAATATTGATATAACGAATTAGGGGCGTTTGACGTTTCCTATTACTAAGCAAACCCTTCGAGTTTCTAAGTAAATATAATTCAGCCCACTCTGACTCTGGCCTCTTGTCCTGTACTGGAGCCGATGTGAATGTGTTAACTCCGTTTTCCATGCGCCGTCGTCTGTATATCTTTTTATTGTTCAAGTAGACGTCCAATTATCGAAAATATGAGCATGTCAGACTTGTTATTCACGAAGAGGAGTATTTAATAACATTTTTGAGTTTTGATTTAATCTAACAAAAACAGGTAGACTGTAAGTATTTTCCTTTTTTCCACCAATTCTGAAACGCCTAAGTTTTATCTTCCCGATATTGCACTCGAACGCTGATATTTCAGTTAGGCATCTGTTGAAGGCCCTTAGACGAGCCTGTCATTTGGTAACAGTTGGATTAGACAAGATCGAAGCCGCAGGCGGTAGGACTGGTTCGGTAATGCATTAGTTTGTGAAGGTGACCTTTGACATATTGAAGTATAAATACGTCGATTATAGGAACAAACAGACGAAAATTAAAAGATGAACTTTAAAAGAGGCAAATAAATGCCGTCGGGAGAACTGACCGCTTGTCTTCTCATAAATGGACTAAAACGCCAGGAGGAGTTCGGAAGCCCTGCCTACTGATCTGACACCCCGAGTGCGCACGAGCGTCAGTCGTGGAAGATGGTGTCGAGAACGTTGTTTCAGTCAACTGTGGCAATCCAGTTGTGTTTTGGGAAGAACAGTGACGTGAGGCCTTTGCTGTAAATCCCGCTGTCCCGCTGTGTCGCACCGGGAGCTGGAGGAGTGTGGAGCCGTAAAAGGGATTCAGCAGTGCTGTGGGACAAGGTGAAAGGCTCCTATCCCCAACAAAGGTGTCGCCCTGCACACATGCTAATCGCTCTTGCTCACATGATTCCTTTTGCCGCTTGCTTACTCACGTAAACCCCCGAACCAGGAGAAGGAGGGGGCCACAGAAGTCGACCAATGTCGGGCCCGCGTGGGTCTCTACGGCCGTGCAGCCGTTCTCTCGCCTTGTATTCGGCGTCTTCAAAGGGAAGAGACATGTGCTGGTGTTATGCAGTGTTAAAATACGCACCTGACGTTAATCAGCAACTTCCCAACGACGATTCTTCCAGCCTGATTGGACAGGCCCGCGAAGTGAAAAATAATTTTTTGATTGATCTTTCTTCGCCTTCTTCGTAATAAAGAGATGAAATCAGTTCCCGCATGTGTTCACCAGAAATTTAGTATTTTGACTTACGAAGAAATTTACGCAATTTTATTAGTCCTTTACGCGCGTATCTCTAGGTGTCTTGGTATCGCTTGCTTGGCATACTGGTTGCTGTGTGCCAGGCACAATTAGTTTGCAATTGTTATCACCAACGGTTAGTGCTTACCGAAACGCTCAAAACTTTTTAGAAGTTCTTCACGTTTCAAATTTAAAAATCCTATCGAAAAGTTATCGAACGGGGTCAAGAGGGGCCTAAATGCTCTTTTTCGGCTTTTTGGCCGCCATCGGCCAATCAAAGTTCAGAAGACCCATGGTTCAAACGAGACTCCTTTGTAGTTGTGTCTCAAAAGAACCTCAGTTGCTATGCCAGGCGCTCAAGTTCTTTTAACGTGTGTCGAGAGTAGTCTGTTCAAATGGACGTGCGAAATAATGCTTATGGAATGTACGCGGAAGTGAGTCTTTAGGCTGAACCTGCCAGAGCTCTTGTTCAAACCAAATAATGACAGGTGCGCCGGTTCTATATGTATTTAAGGCGGCGACCGTTGTTCTTCTAAAGACTTTGTACGTCATTTCTCCCAGTGATTTTGTAGAAAATCATTCCTTTGCAAAATTTTGCATTTGGATTTATGAAATCTTTCAGTCTGGAGAGTTCGATGAATTACACAAATTATAGGCCCTGGACCTGAAGTATACCTTTACTGAAGGCTTTCAAGCTAATTTTTCTCCACTTATTGACGGAAACTCTTTGATGCTTTCTTTCATATTCCGGTAAAAAAACTTCCGAACTCATACAACACCGTACAATGTGCTATCAATCGACTTGTTTTGGAAGCACGACTAATCAAGCCATCGATATTCTATTATGGATTCAAAAAGTAGCAGAGCAGCTACGTTTTCAGAAAGCGAAGTGCCCTGTGTAGTTAAAGACTATTTTTGAAGGAACTACCGGTTGCTGTAAAGTAATGAAATATTTATCAACTCTTTACGAGAAAAGTAATACAGAGGTCGGACAGGTAGGGGTAAGTTTATGCTTATTACATGGGGGTTGTTTTCGATTGAGCTCTTCTTTGGTGAACTGATCTATTATAACTGAAAATGCTGCCTGTCATGGTGTACGTGTGGTATGGTGTATGTATACGTGTCACCGTGACCAGTATGCCAGTCATCCAGTCGTGCCCTTTTCTTACCAGTCTGTCAAAACTTTACCAGTTTTAGAACATTGTGAAGCTGGCGCATAAAAGTCTTCAGAGTAGGAAAAGACACAAGCTGCAGTCCTGTAATGCTCTGGTGTATTTTTCTGTCAAAGCATGGGCCCGATTTAAATGTTGACCATCAAACAGATATTATTTCCCTCGAAACTTTTAAAAAGTGGGCTTTTGACAATCTACGTGAATGTTGGAAAACCAAGAACGGAAATGTGTCCAAACGAAATGACTGCTTTTAACAGTTTCGCATGCCCAAGGCTGTTGCAAGCAGTTCTGTTGCAAAACTAGCTCGCGAGCTCATCATCCAACTCAGTAAGAAACGTGTGATTTTCAGACCAAATGCATAGTTAGACGAGCGTTCAAAGACAGTCTTTAAACTGGGATTCACTTTCACAGCGAAACACTCCCAAAGAGATTGCGGACTTATAATTGTATTTACTTGCAAATTGGTGTAGAATTCAACGGTTATTTAATGACTCATTTGTTTCACATCTAATCCGCGATCCAACGTAAAGTTCTTAAGATCGGTGACTTGGGTTTTAACTTTCCCTCCGAAATCAGTCAAACATTGGTGAATTGTGCACTCGGCTATTGGCCTACGCCCGTGCCGACTGCCCCTGAAAACGTCCACGCCGATAACAGTTGTCATCTACTTGCCTTGATTACTGAATGGGACATACGCGACCCGACTGTGCCTTGATACACGAATGCTCGAACCCGCAGAGGTAGCTGGAGCCCATTAAGCAACCAATAATAAAACAGTATATCAATAAAGTCTGTGAAAGAAAAAGGTAATATTCCTGACCTGCGCATCCTCACCAGTCAGTCGTTTCCAGTCCCAGGCGAGGGTTGGGTATGGGGATTCGCATTCCCCACTCGATAATTTAGTTAAACCAGCAGAAAATCGCATCACCTTAATGGACTTAAAAAATCCATGGTCCACCTTCTTCATAGACGCTAAAAGCTGTTAGCTGCGACACGAAGGTTTAAAGTGCACGAACGAGGAAGATCATTTTTTACAAGATATGTGCGTGTGGGCGCACATGACGGGGTGAAATGCCTAGCACGCCTCCGCATTAAACCCCACCTCCGCTCTTCTAAAATTAATCTCATGTATGGTAGGTGGTATGAATGGGAGGTCAATGTTAAACAGCCTTGCCTCTAAATACACCACTTTATGCGCGTAGCATCACTGCTGGAATAGCCGTAGTCTCTTGCGAGCACAAATGGAGCAATACCGGTATCCTGCAATGTTTGGGCATGACAGAAAGTGGAGTGTCATTAGGACAGTTAAATAACAACTTGCTCTCATGCAGTTTATGGTGCGCCCAGTTCACTTTTCGCAACAAATGTCTTGTCCGAAACTTCTTCCAGCACACTCGATATTGTGATAGTAACGTAATATCTCCCGTCTCTTTGGTGCAGGAGTTGACGCGTATGAAAATGGGTCTAACCTGCGCACCAGCCTGCCCTTTCACATCTTGCTGGACCTCACTTATTCCTCCTACGTAAAGGATGCAATGAGAGACACTTTTTGACGGATATGAATATATACACCCTCCACTGCCTGCACTTTAGCGCAAGATCACTACTAATACGGGAATAGGCGTTTTAATGGTGGAGCTTTTTTAAAGGGAACGGACGATACGGTTGAAATGATGTAGCAAGCAGGACGGTCAAGTTTGTACCATATACATGTTATAATGTATTAAATAATTTTAAATTTAACCCCGCGCAGTATATGTAACCAATAGGAAATCTTGCGATCCCAAAGAAAAAACTGTACGCCCATCCTCAAAAAGGGAGTGATAACTGATCCGTAAATGGAATAATCAATAGACTTTCGGTAAGACCGCCAATACTCCCTTTACCACCATTCCCATATTAAAGGTGGTATTGAACCAAAGTGCTGAGGCTCGGAGTGCATACATTCATATCCTATCAAATTTTGTTTCATTTTTATCCGTGAGGTCTGTGGAACACAGGGACAGCCGTAAATGGTCGCATAGTACTACTGATAAGGACGAGAGAAACTGGAATAGCGACTTGCTGGCAGTCAAAAATACCCCGATTCTAGACCCAACGGACTGAGATGTAATTTCAGGGTAAACGAGGTCCCTCGTAATTGGCCCTTAATGGAGGATGGATTTGGTGAAAACTCTTTACGTGCGACTTTGAATGACCTCGTTAGCAGTTGATAGGATGTGAGCCTGTTATTCTTTTGGTCGTGTTTGACTCAAATGCCTGATGAGTTTGCGGCCTGGAATTGGGATGTGATGACTGAATAGGAAAAGCAAGCTGGAAATGGTCACTTCAGCCACTCTCGTCCATGTCGGTTACGCTTTTTGTATCGTTCTATATCTACTTAATACTACTTCTTCATTACTAAGTTGGGGGGGGGGCGATTTAACCCACAATAAGACCGGATAATAGAATATCAGCGTGTTATTATCATACTCTAGACTGCTTCTGTAATTTTTTTCTCTTTTGTTTCCTCAGTGGAGAGGAGGGAGTCTCCGCAGCCCGACTGAAGATGGAGGTAATTTTGCTAATCCCGTGAGCGCTTTCGCATGCCAAATGAGCAAACAATGAAAGAGCTGTATGAGCATGTTCCTTGGTCTTATATGTCATTTCCACGTGCCGAAAGGCTTACAAGTTACCCATTGGGATATTTAATGCAATTGACTGTCAAGGAGGAAGAGCGATTGAAAAACATAACCGGGGAATCGGACAAAGGCAATGTTCGCAGCTTTTGCATCCCTGGATTTAATTCTTTGTCTCCGAGCTAACTTTCCGGTAGACATTAGATAACGGGTGCATACCGGGCACGCAGTACTTGGTGCTGTTCAGTGACAGTTAGTGAGGCCAAGCGACGATAGCATCATCTGCGATGGCAAAAGTGCAGAAATGGACATCTGATCTCCATCAGTAACTTTCAGCACTGGAAAAATCAAACAGAATCGTCGCATATGCAATAACTGGTCCAAAGTGAGTCAGTAAAAGTGGTATACAGCTTACTCCACGTATCCGATGAGTATTGCGGAAATGAACGATATATGCGCGCCAATTCGACTCCGTCTTATGCCAAAGTCTTCGCACTTCCATCCGTCCGCAGGCTCGGTATAACAATCATCATCTATTTTCAAACACCGTTTGATAGGCATCGTTGACGACCTACTAGTGAGCATGTAGTGCCAGCGCATTAGGTGATTATAAAATATTAACCGCGCCAAAAGCAATGAGCCGATGCAACGTAAACAACCATTAGCAGTGCTGTAGACTATTTGCATAAATCCAGTTATTGTAGTGTGGCGCTTACGTGCACGATATGCTTGCAGGACACTACGGAGCAGTGTATTCTAGAGAAACATATTACACTGGGCTTTGCGCCTTCCATTATCATGAGGGTACGAAAATGAAGCGAAGAAATAGGCTCTGTAAACCAGGGATGGAAGGTTGCAATTGTTAGATGACCAAGCATCATACCGCAAACAACGTTGCCGGAGGACGACAGGGGACAGTTTATAAGTTACCATTGTCCACTTTTGCCAAGAAAGAAGAGTGGTGGGAGAACGAGAATGCTATCAGTTCGGGAAAATTTCGTGAATGTAAAATGACACAACCGTCACATGCAAGGATGAATGGCTCTTAACTACGCTCCGTCCGTCTCCTCCTCGTTCCTAGAAGGTTTCCAACTAGCTTTTTCCCTGCCTGATCTGAGACGACTATTGAGCTGCATTGGTAGCATTGCAAGGCACGAAATAACTTAGCACTGTTGTCACCTCGAGTTCACCATTCTTATTTTTTGTTTTAACAGGCAGAAGCCAAGAAACGCCGAGAACGTGCTGAAGAGGAATGGAAGGAGTATGAGGAAATGCGTCGTGCTGAACGCGAAAAAGAAGACGAAGAAATCAGAGAACTTCGTGAGCGACGGGTGAGTCCTAATTGAGTAGGAACCACTCGTTAAGGATAGCCAATGCCTGCCAGCGTTTCTTAGGCATCCGAGAGAAGTGCACAAAATATTAAGTGAATTCGCAGCTGGGTAGTCGGTTAACTGGGTCATACTGGAAAACTGTTGAAGAATAAACACGGTTCTTCAGGGCCCATTTTACTCTGCTTTTCAAGGAGAACCATTCCATATAACTTGCAAATATGGAAAGGTGGTGTGCCTTTTAAACGGAAAATAAAACGATCTGCTGAGTGTAAGTTCTGCCATGTGTCTGACAGAAGGTACGGGCCCCCGAAGGTCAGACTAATCGGTCGGACTTAAGAGGCCGCGAGTATGGGATATAGTGATATGCACAGTAGATGTGCTGACTCATGAAATGTTATTCGAAATTCTGAAATGTGTTTTCGACTTGAAAAGATTACTTAAGCATGGTTATGATATTACTCATTGTGTAGCTTAATCCTATACTAATTCAAAAACTTCAAGATGCCGGCTTTTGAACGAAATTTTCGGCCGCCTGTGAGAACCGCACTCTGCAGAAAATGGCCGCTTATGTAGCATAACTTTTTCTGACTGATTTTCGATGCCCTTATAAATTCAAATATATTTCATCGAAGACATGTATACGATACCCGTTCTTTTACCCATTTTATAGAAAATCACGCCTTGTTTAGATTTTATGCTTGAAAAGGGTATAATTCGGTTTAAAACTATTTTCCAGTTCTCGAATAATCTTGAGCCCGACTAGCGGTTACACTTGCATTCAGGAATTCCAAACCACGAACTGTGTATTTTCCGTATGCGGTAAATCCTACATTTCTACACGGTATTAAGAGAAGACCATATGGGCATTATCAAATTTAGCAGTTAATTTGAGCCATATTGTAAACTTTACAAAGAACATTAGTATATGCAGAGACACGATGTTTTATGAACGGGCACTTCACGGTTTTAAAAATTTCATGATTAGAAGCTTTTTAAAACCCACTTGTTTTCCTACTTCATTTATAAGAATTTTAAGAAGACGTAAGTTTCCACATAATGCGTAAAAGAATGGAAATTTTGTGCATGTTGTCACCAAAGTATATTTGAATTTATAAGGGCATCGAAAATAAATGAGAAAAATGCATGCTACCTAAGTAGCCATTTTCTTTAGAGTGCAGTTCTCCCAGGCGGCCGAAAAGAAGTTCGTTTAAAATCCGGTATCCTGAAATATTGGAATTATTATAGGGTTATGCTGCATGTTGATTAATATTAAAACCCTAAGTAAGTAATATTTTCGAGTCGAAAACACATTTCAGAATTTCGATTAACATGTCATGAGTCAGCACATCTATGTAAGCGCTGAGGTCAACAAAGGAAGGACGACTGTACGGCATCGGGAACCTGTCGGGGGCAAAAGGGAGGAGTCCACTGAATTTGAAAATTTGATCGACAATTTAATCTTTCCTAATTGGTTTCCAGACCTACGTCGGTTCGCTCAGAAGTCGACGCAGTCGATTTTCGGAATCCAAACGTTGTTATCTACTGCGGCCTCATTAACTGGAATCCACCGTTCTAACGAAACATTGACAAAGAAAGATTATTGAAAACGATATGGCTGATGCGTTCAAAACCCACCTGGCAGTAGTATTTCAGGGTTCAACGTGGTTTTGAGATGTGGGACCCAGTATCCTAGCAAAGAAACGACTTTGTTCCAATGTGACTGGACAGCAACGATGCAGCACTGTTTGGTGGAAAGTGAAAAGCGAAAGACATTATGGGATTTATCAGGATCCCGGCAGTGCGAGACGCCCGTTCAAGAAAAACTAGGATCCGGGTAACGATATTTTGTTCGACAAAGAGGTCTTGCTGTGATACGTAGCAGGAAAGGGCTAAGACCAGCCACTTTTACGTACTGGACAGTATCCGTCAGTAGCCTGTCGTATAGGTGGGCAGGCTGTGCTGGCAGTGAAACAATCTGATTTGACTTTAACCACTATTTCCAGCAAAGTGTCTAACCTAATACCTATAAAATGTCCTCCGTGAAATAAACTCGGAACTAATTTAATTCTTGCGCTTCGTCTTCCTTACTTTTAGGAGCGTCGCAAAAAGGAACGGGAAGAGGAGGAGAAGCGTTTGGCAGAACAGCGCGCCGTCGAAGAGCAGAAAAAACGCGCTGAAGATGTAAATTTTTCCCCGTGTAAAATGCATTTCTTATGACAGTATATTCAGTTTGACGTCTTTCAGCCATTAAAATTAATTTCTACAAAGCCTTCCACTTTATCTCTTCAGGAAGAACGCCAACGCAAGAAACGCGAAGAAGAGCAGAGGAAACGTGAGGAGCGCGAGCGCAAACGCGCCGAATTCGAGGAAAAGTCGAAGCAGGCGACACGTCGTAATTTTGTCATAAACAAGAAAGCTGGCTCCGTTGAGGTATGTTTTAGGGTGTCAGGAGGTGTCCTCAAATACAAGAATAACAGTATACCTCACCAGTCCACTTTTGCTGCGGTCCTGTGGCGGCCTAATCCCCGCCAACAAAATTACCTCTGAACTAGGAGAAAGAAATACCTTAGCAGGGACATTTCACAAGCCTGCTATATGATGCTGCATCCCTTCCCATTTTCATCCGACTGTGTCGTTCACCTGCTCGAAGGCCATTTTTTTCCTCCTGATTAAGTGAAAAGTAGTACGCGTTTGAGAAACAGCTGAACAATATTGCCTGATGGATTAGAAGTTTGTCCTTCCGTAAACGCCAGTTGACGTTAACAGACACCTGTTTTCACATGTTAGAAGATCGGCCAAAGCGGCTCAGTCTTCTTGAATTCACAATACTTCTTGCAAATGTGTTTAATGAAGTCATCCAAACAAAAGCAGAAGGTATCATTAAAATGCCTCTGGAAAACATCTTATTCGGAGATTTTGAACACTCACCCACATGCACCGCGATCAGCAGTAGTGTGTAACTATTTGTTCTCTTATAGTCCGAGCGGACTGAAAAATTCAGCAGTATGTTCACTTTTAGTGCGGTGAGGAAAGAGTGTCACAGGTGCCGCGCGAGCCTGCTATATTTAAAACCACTTCCCATGCAATTCACCGTCCCCGGCATACTCCATGCTGTGCGACACACGGTGGATATCGTCGTTTACAACGGTCTCACCGATGATCAAAGGAGAGAAATCCGTCCTTGTAATTTAACCGAAGCGTCCCAAAGCAATGCTTTTGATCAAAAGGCGTCGTTTTTAGATAATCGTGGTCCCTCGTTCAATGCAGCCATTTAGTAATATGGATGGGGAGGGCGAAAATTTAGACAGGTAGTAGTGACGTGTTTCGACAGAAATAAACTTATCAGATTTACCCACTAGATCCACTAGACCTACAACTTATGCTTGCTTCTTTTTAACATATTTCAAGCTCTACCTGTCATAGACAAGTAGTCCTTTGCGTCCTTCCTCCGCATTCTTATCGAAGCTATTTCATTTTTGACCTACCTGTTGATAAACAAAGAGTGTGAATAACAGGCGACCTCTTACAGCCTTTAATAAAAAAGATGGTTAATGTAAAAAAGAAACATATCTTATTCCCTGACATGTAGAGTCATTGTTTAGTTAAGGTAAATTTAATATTCAGTTAGCGCATTGCAGTCTCACCCCCAGCCGGAAAAACTAATTATCCTTCCACCCATGCTCTGCCATCTTTCAGATGGCTGAGGAAGTCAAAAAGGAGGAGGTCACTAAGTCGAAGGAACAGTTGGAGGCCGAACGCAAGGCCATCTTGGAACAGCGGATCCAGCCATTACAGATAGACGGCCTTAAAGGAGAGCAACTTCGCGCCAAGGCCAAGGAGCTGAATGAGTTAATCATGAGACTTGAGGGTGACAAGTACGATTTGGAACAGAGATTCACGCGCCAAAGCTATGATGTAAGTTTAACGAAGACAACGATCACTCCTAGACTAGATTTCTCTGCCTCCCTCTGTCCTCCGACAGTAATGCATGCAAAATGTATTGACCAAATTATCGGTTATGTGTGCTTTTTAGATGCAAGAGCTGGCTGAACGTGCGCGGCAAATGAACAAGGGGTGAGTAGATGCATTTCAGATGAAGTTTTTGTTGACGTTTGCCGTCTTCTTTCGGTTCTGAGAACGACCGTGGACTTTTATAGTTTACATAAATTGCGATTTTTGATTTGATAAATTGTCTGGTATATTTATTAGTTTAAAAAATCCTGTTTTACATTCACTTATGTTTTTTGTATATAATTTCAGAGACAAGCGATCTAAACAAGTACAAAACGCACCGTAAGTTTTTACACAATTCTGTGACATCTAATCAAACGCAATTCTAGGGACCCCTTGGCCGCAAAAATCAGCGGAATCC